TTAGATATCCAAGTGGAGAAGTTGTACAGGCAGCTGCAAATACTAATAAAATTATTGAATGTAGAGGAGAAGACTGGTCTGGAGATATAAAATTGGGGTAATGAACATGTGGGTAACATTTATGTCCACGGCACTAGATGAGATCTCCTCAAGAGTGAGTGTAGACAGATGCAAGGGCTGAGCTTGGGATGATGAGGAGGCCGCACTTAAGTTTCACTGGCTTCCTGGCAAATGTGCCTCTGTTGTGAAGATGATTGTTGATTTAAAATTTTACAGCTAAGGGAGCTATAATATGCATTACCGTTTTTCACTGGAATGAAAATGTACGAAAATGTCATGGCTTCTCCCCTGTCCTTGTAATGAATTCCCTGTCTGGGATGCGCGGTGCCCTTCTTATTTTGAGAACACTGAGGAAAAGCGGGTGCGGCCAAACCCAAAGCCTCTGCTCCATGGCTAAGGCAGCTCGCAAATAAGTCGGCATCTCGCTTCTGCTGATGGGATGTTCTAAGGTCGGGGGCAGGCAAAGACTTTTTAAATAATAAAATGGTTTTACCATAGCCACGAACAGAGGTCTAATTGTGGTGCTTTTATTTCATTGCAGAGCACATACTGTAGGGAGAAAAAATAAGCCAGGACCAGCAATTTCTCAAATAGAGAGGAGTGCTCAATAAGAAAAGGCAATTGTGAAAATATTCAATAAATCATATTTTCAAAAGCGTTCTTTTTGGAGGCCAACGGTCATATTACAAGGAGCTTAGAGCTCCTTAAAATGGCCGAACAGAACCAGCAGATGACAAGTGATTTTTTTTTTTCTTTTCGCGCTGATAAAAAAAAAAAAAATAAGCAATGAGTCGGATTTACCTCAGCAGCGGCTGGTGCGAGGTGCCTTGGGGAGACGGTGATTTAGGTACGGTATTGACCCTTGCAGACTAGATAGATCTGAAAGCGTGAATCTTTTGCTCTAGCAATGTGGTGTTTACAAAACAGGGCAGCCGCTCTCCCTGCAAATTAGATACCAGATGTCTGGGAACTAGTGTTGCGTCTAAATATAGTCAGAGCCACCTTCTGTGTAGCTCGAGAGAGATCATAGCAGTAGGCATTTGATTAGCGTGGTGGAAGTTGTAGATATTTTATTAAACAATTTCACACTGAATAATTTATCCTATAGAGTTAAACTGAACATTTTTTTTTTAGTAAGGATTGCATTGCTTTTATCTTAGATAATTCGAGTCTAACTCAATTATAAAATATTTATTAATTAATAGTTGTACATGAAGATATTTATATTTTGTTTGGTCTTGAGAAAGCTCGTAAATCTTTCTAATATAAAGCATATCCTTATTGAAGGGTAGGATATTTAATATTGACTACACTTAAATAGAAATTTGTAGTTGCTAAATTTCAGATTTTAAAACAAGGAGAGGTAAAGACTTAGTTCAAAACAGAAATTGGAACATGATATACACTGTACTATCCTTTGATTCTCACGTGTTACCAGATTAATTATAGAAATTCTTGTAAGGAATTATAAGGAAACAGATGAGGTGTGGTTGCTTGGAAGTTAAGTAAGCAGAATTCAAAGTAAATGAAAAGATTTTTTTCCTTGAGTGGCATGCATGTCCTATAAATTACTCCTTTAATGGATTGATATAGCTTCATTTCTTCAGAAAGGAAAAATGTAACAGCAATTGTTGATTATCAGCTTAAATACATTTGTAAATCACTCAACGGCTTCATACCATTTACTTAAGCTGACAGCGTTGAAAATATTTTAGGGAATAGATGCTGTTATTTATGGCTCAAATTTGCCTAGTCTGGGGGAAAAAAGATTGTCCTCTAAAGTTCATATTAAAATCTCCCCTATTTTGGTACATAGGTTCATGCTTAGCCAACTATAGTAGGTAGTATTTACTGTGCATTTATATAGCATGCATTTAGCATGCTCATTTCGAATCCTCCCTCAATCCTGCTTCATAGACGGTGCTTTTCTCATTTGATGAAGAAATGGAACCTCAGAGAGGTTACAGGACTTTAGGAAGGCCACCGTCCTGACCTGGGATGCAGGTCCAGGCCTGCCTGGCCCTCTGTGTCTTTTTCCTCTGTGAGCATCTGGCGCTAGACTTCATCTCCTTTCTCACCTCCGCTCCTCCTTCTGTTTCCACCCCCCTTCTTTAGGGGCCAGTGAAAGGCTGCAGCGTTCTATGCCGGCCAGCAGAGCTCAGTTCATCCTGTGAAATGGCAGGACAGTGCACTCGGAAGCTTTTGTCCCTGACCGATGGGCCATCCCTCGCCCAACATTCAAAATCCATTTCTGCAGATTACTACAACATTTAACTCCTTTTTCATGCCAACAGAGGTCGTTTTAATAGAAATACTAGCAAATGCACATACATAAAATCTGGCTTCAGTTCTTTCCCCCCCCACCTGGATGGACTTAAGTTTTTATGATAAAGAAAATGACAGTGGGGACAGAAAGCTAAGTGACAGACTGATGAGGAACTTGGGAGATGGGATATGGAGGGGTAAATTAGGATATGTGTATTTCTTTTATTTTGGCTCTCGTACGGCCTGTTTTCTCTATGCCTCTCTAACACCAGTAAGAAATGCTGAAATTGCTCGGAAGGCGAATACAGTCATTTTGATGAACAAACGCATTAGTATTAGAGGGAGACAAGCTGGCTGGTAGGAATATCTAGTGCTCTTCAGCTGCAAATATTGTTAGCTTTGCTGCCCCTTAAAGGTCATCATAACGTGCTAGAAAGGAAAGAGTCCAAAATGAATCCAAAAGCCTCATTTCTCTAGGCTTTTGCCAATCCGGACATCTGGTGAATTGTCATGTTAACTAGTGACAACGGAAAACAGGCAGCGTTAATGAGTCGACATCATACAATTCAGCATAGTCTTTTAGACATAAATTCAGGATGATGAAATTAAGTTATTATACAGGAGGGAAACCCTGATCATTAAAAACATTGTAATGATTATTAAATATAAACATATATTTAAGCATTGATTAATTAAAACTTTATTAATTTACTACTACTTTGCTGATTAAACTGAACACGCAGTGCTACATATGCAATGTGTATTTACATATGCAATCTATTTGGAAAGTTAACATTATAATCTTCATATTTTCTTATTTAAATATTTACAATGAAAATCAATGTATGTTCTGAAGTTCTGTAAAGTTTCACTCTTCAATCAAGTTATTTAATGATAAAACAAACATGAAAATGATGTTAAAAGCATCAGTTTTCATCTTAAAATCTGGAACTTGAAACATGCTCTTTCCCCAAAAGAATGGGATTTATGATGATAACTTTTGCATTTTACTTAATGAGAACATAATGTTCTAATTTCTTATAAATTATCAGTGTCCCACCAAATTTTGTCCTATAAACAAAAACTTATTGATGTGCATTATTGCAATTCTGTCTTGACTGTATAATAAAACTGTTGCACACCGGAAAGCAGTAATACACAAAAGGGAACAACAGTAACTTGTTTCAACTGAAAACTCGAAGAATTACACGTCTGGCTTATAATTTTTCTAGATAAGCAAGAAATAATGCTAGGTAGAAACTTTTTATCTATTTGTATAGAGAGGAGATATTTAGTCTTCCTTTGAGACTTGTAACGTTTTTAATTTTAAACCTCAATTATCATTGTTCTGCCCACTCAAGATAAACAGCACAAAAAACTGGGTGAGTGTTGTATCATTTCCAGGGCATACTCAGGGGATTGCTTTTTCTTCTTCTTCTTCTTTTTATAACTGCTTGATAAGATTTAATTTCCATTTTCCTTTCTCCTGAAGTTGGAGTGCAGAAGAAATGCAGTAAAAGGAAATCTGAATGAAACAGGCTGTATTTTTAAAACTGTAAGAGATGATGAATAAAGACTGTGTACATAATTGAAATTCCCCGAATAGCTAAGAAATAGAACCCAATATGAGAAAAGTGCTTTTAATTTTTATTCCACTAAATTAATGATCATTTTCCACTAAAATTTAGAATCCTATATAGCTTTTGGCCCCCGAATTTGCGTTATTTACTTACATTTCAGTATGGATTCACACTTTCCTAAGCTATTGCTATAGTGTCTTGTTGCAGTAAACCTTATCAAGCAACAGCTTCTTATTTTTGCTAAGGATGAAATGAAATAAAACTGCGGTTTAGAGAGTTTAATTTCATAGAGGTGTTAGAAGGAAAAATATAGCAATGAAATAAATGACAGCAAGAAAATATTCCCGCAGAAAGGTACAGTCTTACCATTGGCTACAATGCCTTGCGTGCTATACTGTGTGTGTGAGCGTGTGTGCTTTGAGAGGCAGGGTCACACAGAGTAAAAAGTATTGATTCTGGAGCTGGGCCATTTGCAGCCCTGCCTGGATTGGGTTGCTGTGATTATTCGTTAATCTTACTCACAGGTAATATTAAGAGATGCCCTAAGGGATCTCATATACCCCAGACATACTCTTCCTTAGCTCCGCAGTGGAGCAGTCGTCCAGTTTCCCCTCGGTAGTCCAGGTCCGTCACCCCGGTCAACACCGCAACTCCCTGCTTAGCTTGTTGACACAGCGGCGTGAGGGGCCCAAAGCGCTGGGCAGTGGTCTCAACTTCCGGCTCAGTGGAATCGTTGTTGTGTCTCCCAGTGGAAACATTTCTCTCTCTGGAACTAAGACCTCTAGGCCAACAGAGCATAAAATCAGGAAGCAAAAATTTTGCTAACGGGTCACTAGAGGTGATGGTGACTGAGGGTGATTCTGAAGGCACCGTGGGTCTGGGGTCGGTCAATTCCGGAACATGCATAGGGCTCTCTGGATTTGGAAGGTGCACACTCGGATCCTCCAGGTAAGAATCAAATTTCCCAGTATGTGCATAAGTGTCCGGGTCACCTCGTTGAACGCTGAATGAGAGTAATTTATATTACACAGGAATTGACTGTGTCTATTAGGATTTACTTCGACTCAGATTTTTATTTTCTTTCTTTTTTGACAGGTTCCTGGGCAGATCGATCACCACTACATGAAGCGGCAAGTCAAGGGCGTCTTCTTGCTCTAAGGACTTTATTATCACAGGTAATGTATTACATACAGCTTAAAATACGCCCCCTTCGCATGATCATAGAGCATAAGACATTGTCAAAGCAAATCGATTCAAAAATAACAAAATTGCTTACATTTTACTAAGGCCCTTTTATTTTAACTGATGTCAGGCAAGTCAACAGTTTCTGATTTATCTTTGAAAATTCTTTATAAATGCTTTGATATGATCATATGTCTTAGCATTTCAAATTCTCATATGGTGTATTTGTTCACTGATAGACATTTAAGCAGGTAGTAGTTGGATTGATGTAATGTTTATTAAGCAATCTAAATATGCTTAACTCCATACAATGAATACAGCTGATTACAGACACATCAGTAATAAAATATCCACAAAGGGGTAGTCAGACCAGATGCCAACACAATCTTTTTTACATTATGGTTATCTCTAATATGTTATGGGGAATTGCCTATAAAAGCAATAGGCCAATTATTTCTATACTTACCTGCTCATCAGACTCATCAGAGGAAAAATGAAAAGCACATTCCTTATTGAACAGAAAGTTCAAGTACTGTGGCTTAGGCCGGTGCGTTGTTTCAAGCTTATGATGTGATTCAAATGTACACCCAGGCCTGGAAGTCATTGCTCTAGTGTTCCCAGTATCAAGGAGAAAGGAGTTTCTCCGATGGCGGTGAAGAAAGGAAAGGTGGTGTTGCCCAGTTTAAACGGCACTGCCTGGGACTCAAGACCTGGCTCCCCAGGCTGGCACCGCAGGTGAACCACAACCTGTCTGAGCCTCGTTTTCTCATCTGTACGATGAAGACGTAGGATGAGACGCTCCTTCACAGCCTGCCAGTGCTGTGATAAGCATGTGGCTATTTTGTTTTGCTCATCGCTTGATGGGGGTGGGGGGGCGTGAGATGAAGAATCCTTCAGTAATTTCTGAAGGGTAATTCCTCAGAAAGACCCAGGCAGTCCGTTGAGAGAAGAGCAGTCTTAGGATGTTTCTCAGTGTGTATCTCCTGTCCGCTGACAGGCCAGCCCAGAGGAGCGAGAGGCTGCCCCCAAGCCTGGTGTACGAGGGAGTCTCACCCTTCCCAGACGCTGTCAGCTGTCGCTCTGCTATGTGGCGCCGTGGGATTAGCTCCCCACGTCTGACTGCTTCTTGGCCAACACAAAATCTTTGATAGGATAATTAAAGGATCTTAAAGATCATCAGTTGCTAGTGACAAAGATTTGGGGTGTTTATCTATTTTCTTGCCTTCATTTTAAGATTCTTCACGTCCATTTTGTTTTTACATATTGTGGCGATCCGTAACATGTTATGAGGATTTGGCTTTGAAGTTCTCTCTAGTATGTGCTCAGTGTGATTGTCAATAGATGTTAAATTACCAAAGATATCACGAGGGCAAAGTATCTCACATCCTAATAATATTTAATTATTTCAGTCTGATATTGTGAGTTTATTGGGAATAAAATTAAAAATTGCTTACTTAGTTTTGATTGAGTAATGACACAATAAAATCTAACATTTTCTATACGCTGGGCATTGTGATAATATTTACATGCGTCATCTTGTGTAATTTTCATGATAACCCTAAAATGTAGGAGTTAAGGTATTTGCCCAAGTTAAAAGTCACTGCTTGATGGGGCCAGACTCCAAACCTAAGTCTGACCGACTTCACAGGTCAGAGTTCTTAACCACTAGCATATAACTTCATCATCCCTACTTAGTTACAAAAATCCACAAAGCAGTTTACTATAGTTTAGAACTTCGGTCCCCAACAACCCCTGCCACCCCTGCCCCCACACAGCAGGAGCGAGCAGCGGGAGAGCTTCATCTGTGTTTACAGCTGCTCCCTATCACTCACATCACTGCCTGAGCTCCACCTTCTGCCAGATCGGCTGCGTTATGG